ACAAGTGTTGTGCTGTGGTATTTACGTTTATTCCCCAAATAAACACTTGGAAACCAGACTGGCCCATCTGCCATATATGCAGGATAAAAAAACATGCAGCCTGGACTTTAACTGTTAAACAACCAAATCAGCATGATAAATAGTGTGATGATTTTTGCTTAGCCCAAACCAAAGCCAGTTTTCTAGAATTAATTTGCAGAATCCTAAGAATTGGACCTCCAACTTGAAGAGCTAGCTGCTAGCTGTGCTAACAAAGTTGCATGGGCAACCCTGAATTGACGTGACTAAAGCAAACCTTCAAAAAATAATAGAGAGATCAGATTTGACTTCCACTACTACTATTGCTATCATTAACTATTAACCAGATAAGTTTCATTTATCCAATCAAACAATCAGATGCAACTGCCAGATCAAGTAGTGGTAGTGGAAGTCAAATTTGAACCTTTCTATATGGATTTCAGAGAGACCAGTCATTATTTGCTGATATATTATTATAACTTGTTTAATCAAAAGCTACTATATATTCATTTATGATATTAAAAATTGATATAGTTTTATCTATAAAGTGAGAATAATTTAAAAAAAATATTCATAACATAAAATGATTCATGCATGCTGGTGATTGAATAAACCATGAAGTGTGCATTCTGAATCTCTACAAGTTCCTTGACATTGTTTTTCCAGTACAGTGTAAAACTATATAAATAAATGTGACACAGGTTGCAGGTATTAGGTTGCATGTCCACCAGTGTGCTGAAATACCATCCAGTGACCCGGTCTTGTTCATTGTTGCTTACATCTTGCTTAATTCAACTGTTTTTGCCCCATTTCTTGTACCCATAAAGTTCTTTTCAATAATCTAGAAGACTTCAAAATCATTCAGTAAATTTAATTTTAAAATTGGGTGAAAGGTAAGGGGTCAATAATAGATGAAGAAATAATTTCTTACTGTTCATACATATGGCCCCCATCTCTGTCATGTATTAGAGTAGAAATTTATTGAAGTCTGAAGTCAGAAAATAAATATGGCAACAAGGTTACGCATCATACTGCAGAGTTAGGCATTTTTTTTTAAAGATCTCAAGGGCACAAAAGGTATAAATATAGATTGTAGGGGCAAGGGAACAAAATAATGAAATTTTGAGATTTGGAGGCAGGTTTTACAATGGGGTGCTAAAACTTTTCCCTAAAAAATCCCTGATCAGCTGGAGTGCTGAAACTGATGTTTATTGAAATATCCTAGCAGGTTAGGTTCATCAGATTTTAGCTTTGTTAACCTGGCCACTCTGTTATTACAGTAATGGCTCATTTAAATAATTCCAGGTCATTACTGTAAATGTAAATACAAAGTATTTGAAGTTAATACTGCTGTAAAATGTAGTTTAATAATACTGTATTAAAGTGTAAACACATTTCTCACAGCGATAAATCAATATTGTAAATAATAATCATGTGAGAGTAGAACTTTACTGAGAGTCCGAGTATAGTATTATAGGCCATAGTCTGGCCATGTGTTTCTCAATATTCACAATATTTAACTACAATTGTACAAATTCAGCTAACTATATTACAGTAACATACTGTATAAAATATATTACAGTAAATAGCCTTCGAAATATATATTTCATAGAGCTAGACAATGTAACAAATAATTTGAATCTGCTAAATAATTTGTAACAATGAAATACTTCTAAACATTTTCAAATTCATATATACTGTACCTTTTTATACTTGATGGAAATCATCACAAGTAGTAGGTACGAGATTGGCTCCATTTTCACTGCTTCGAAATTCGAAACATCGCCTCCTCGGCGATTTACATAAAAGAAGATGTACATTCGACGTAATATATAAACGTAACATATTAAGAAGAAAGATTACAACAAAAAATAAAAGAATATAAATAATCCGCAGCAATTCAAGTTCCATTCGTGAACTTTTCGTCGCCCCCCTGTCTTTATTTCCACAAAGCCCGCTCGCAGGCTAATACTCCAAGAATCTTGGAGTATTTGCCTGACACGTGACCGGCGTTTACCAGGGCTATGTCGCCGCCTTCAATTCACGACTAGCCCTGGGTACGAGGTTGGTTGCGCTCAAGGCTCAGAAATAGTGTTTACATAGAAAGTATTATAGATTTTGATAGATGGTGATACAGTATATATGACTATCGCTATGATCTTCAACATTTTTTTTTACCTTATAAAGAAAATATTGGTATTCGATTTCAACATCTTATCAACCTTAAAATGATATACTTAGAATGATGACATATATTGTATGTAAAATGCTCGCACCAACTTGATCTAGAAATTTTCTGCAATGGCTCGCTGCAATATTCACGTGTGACTCGCATATTTTGGGTACGTGACTCACACTTAAGTGATTATATGGGATTTAAAAAAATCTCTGTGGAATTCAGTTCTTTGTGTGGCGAAGATTGCGGTTGGTTATTGTATAGCAACTGTATCCAAAACACACTCGATGTGTGTGATTCCATCTTGAATGACACCTATTTTTAGCCCACGTTAATCCCTGGGCAAATCACTGCGGGAGTTGATCGTAGCCAGCAGCATTTCAATCTGATTGACTATCGATTTGGCCAATTATGATTACCTGCTATTAAGTCGTTTTCGTTTGGACTAAAAATACAATTACATATAAATGCTATTTGTCTTATCCAGGCATCGATTATTTGTTTGGCATGAATCATTCTTTGGAACAATTCGTGATATCGTCCTGACGTTTTGCACTAGCAGATATCGTTGTTACCATCAGTTAGGATCGTGTTTGCCCAGCATGTGCTCCACCCCTGAATTTATTATATAAAATTTAATGTATTCAATATAAATTTGGTTGAAAACGAGGGTCATCTAAAATACTTCAAATTTTGGAAAACTCCGGGGAGCCACCGTAAATGCAAATAACCATACTAGAGGAAATGTTTGTACAAAAATTGAAATTAACAATGTACAATGTTAATGATTTAAATCAATGGAATGATAGAAGTACAGTATAAAATCCATAACAATGCTTAGCTATATATATACACCTCGTATGTAAACACAACACAAAAACAAAGTTCCCCTCTAAATATATCGTCATAAGTTCTAAATAAATGATTACGTTACAATCAAACCCAGGAGTAGTTAGACCTATGGTAGTTAGCTTTATGCTGTTTGAAGGAATTTATGGTCACCTAACCAGCTAAGCTTCAGTCCTCCGTTGAATACAGAAATACCCAATTTCAAAATTAACAAGAATTACTTTATTTAAATTTCACAACAACAGTAATGTTTGATCAATGATTTTATAATGGGTGTAACCACCGCTTTTCAATAACTTAATTCAGCATCGTCTCCTCAGAAAGAGAATGATGTGGCCTGCAGATCTCAACCCATTTAAGTATCTTCGGGACCAGCAAATGCGGTATGTCTATCGCCAGTTCAAAGAATACTGCACGGGGGCTGACTAGGGTCAATTGTTGCATAGAAATTGATGGCTATATCTCAACAGTAGGTGAGCTGACTCCTCAACATGAGGAAAAGATGTCTTGAGGTAATCCAGAAGCATGGTGGTTACACCCATTATGAAATCATTCATGACACATTACTGTTGTACATGTTGTGAAATTTAAATAAAGTAATTCCTGTTAATTTTGAAATTGTGAATTTCTGTATTCAATGGAAGACTGGAAGTTAGCTGGTTAGGTGACCATAACTTCCTTCAAACAACATAAAGGCTAACTACCATAGGTCTAACTATTCCCAGGTGTGATTGTAACATTTATTTAGAACTTATGATGATATATTTAGAGGGGAACTTTCTTTTTGTGTTGTGTTTATTTACTTTGTAATTCTATCAAAAGTAAATGAATATTTTTTCAATTGATTTAAATGTAAAACGTATCGAATTTTCAACACATTTATTCTACTACTTTATTTATAATTGCAACAAATAACGCTCGCACGAATTCAGTGCACATTGTGGACTGAGCAAGAGCATGTGGCAACTAACCATTTCTCCAGAGTCAAGCCCAGCACCCAACCTGCGAACGGGCATACACTTGGTGCGCGATTGGCCCAATCATGAAAAAACTTAAATAATTACAATAATTGTGGTGTCTTGATACATTCAATAGAAGTTAAAATTGAAATCGTTATAACAGTGGCGTAACGTTCCATTGACTGCCGACAGGTGGTGGCTACGCAAAAAAAACATGTGAAATTCGTGCTCTTGCCTGTTTTATCCATAAGTTTTCTTTTTGAAACCCACTAAAGTAATGGACCATTCCCCAATTAACTAAAATTTTTATCTACAAGTCTAGACAAAATTCCATCATAGCATGAAAGAGCATCACAAAATTAGTAATATTCCGAAGTTTCATTGGGAAATGTTGTAAAATGCGGAAAATATAGCCTTGCGAAATTTGCAATTTTCAGTCATGTTAGATTACAAACGGGAAATGGTTACCACTTTTCCAAAATTTTGATCTTAACTAGCCTAAGCAAAAATTTCATCACAGCTTGAAAGATCATCACAAAATTAGTAATATTTCAAAGTTTCGTTGCGAAATGTTGTAAAATGAGGATAATATAGCCTTGCGAAGTTTGTAATTTTTAGTCATTTTGTATATATTACGCACAGAAGTGGTAACCATTTCCCGTTTGCAATCTAAAATGACTGAAAATTGCAAATTTCGCAGGGCTATATTATCCGCATTTTACAACATTTTGCAACGAAACTTTGGAATATTACCAATTTTGTGATGGTCTTTCAAGCTGTGATGAAATTTTTGTCCAGACTTGTTGAGTTCAAAGTTTTGGTTGATTGGGGAATTGTCCATTGCATGGAGGCGAGCATCAGGTGACTTTGGCACCTATCTTTGGTTATATTTGTTTCAGTTTCAGTTAGTCAATTCACCTGACATATATCATTCTTTTTCAAACAAACATATAGGTGCAACAGTTACTGCCACAGATAGTATAACACCGTCCACACCAATGACTAGTACTACAGTGAGTATAACAACAAGTACAAGTGAATATAATCCAATGGTTTGTATGCAGACAATCACAAGAGTGATAGACAGTTCAGTTTGTATACCAACGACAACAAGAGTGATTGATACCACAGTTTGTATGTCACCGCCCACAACAATGACTACTGCCACACAAATTATAACACCGTCCACAACAAGGATTCCTAGCACAGAAAATAGTATAACACCCACCACAACAATGATTACTGCCAAATATATTATCACACCTTCCGCAACAAGGATTCCTACCACAGAAAATAGTATAACATCGTCCACAACAGTGATTCCTAGCACGGATACTATAACACCGACCACATCGGTGATTAGTGCCACACTGAGACTACTGAGTGTACCAACAAGTACAAGAACAGTTTCTATGCACACGACGATTGACACTACAGTTTGTATCCCAACGGCATTAACAGTGATTCATATCACAGTTTGTATAACACCGACCACAACAGAGATTGGTACTACAGCTGGTACAACACCCACCACACCAGGTACATGTAGTGTTAGTATATTTTTCATTTTAATTTTTTTGTGTGTAACCTTTGACGCGTTCCGAACTATCTTTGTATTTTGCAAAATAGAATTTGTTCTAAACGGAAACTACATCATTTGCTAAATTTTGAAAACACCAGAAGAATTTCATTCCAAGTAGCTGAAATATGGAGGCAAAACTACCATGTCCACAAATTAGAAATATTGCAGACTTAACTCGATATATTTTTACTATATACAGGCATATTTGAAAAAGTATTTAAAAAGCCAACTATAAACCCAACGTGTTTCGTGTTGTCCACGCATTATAATGCATGCATGCGCATAGTGATCATATCATAATATGTTGTCACGTCGGCAGCTTTAACTGGACTTTAGGGCCCTTCAAAATGTTTCACTTCCCTTGCTCGAAACGTAGAAGTTCTGCTTGCATATTTCGATAGTTGCATGCCTATATCAGCCGAAGTTCTGTTATCAGAGAAAAGTTCATAATACAACTAAATTTGCACCCTATGAATTTAACTTGCGTTTTAAACTTGCATTCCATTTTTTGGCAAGTCATTTTTATAATTAGTTTTTAAAAAATCCCAGCTGCGTGCATGCACTTGAAAGTTTACTTTTCAAAATAATTTGCCTAAACATTTCACAGAGTTTCCTATAATTAACATGAATTTTAACGATTTTATTTCTCTTCTAATATATAGGTCCTCCATGTGCCAGTGCTCCATGCTGGAATGATGGGACTTGTTCAAATAATGGATCAACATTTATTTGCTTATGTTCGGCTGGATATACTGGTGACCGCTGCGAAACGGAGGGTAAATATTATTCTCGAGAACGTAGGCTACTAGATGTATTTTTTCGCTTTCTCATTTCTATCCCAGAAAGGATTTTCACCACTAACAGCGCAAGGACGCGCTAAAATTTTAAAATATACACGAGAATTCCGTGATAATGCTTGAGAGATTAGCATTGCTCAGAAATACTCTAGAAAATAGATTTGCACTTGAGTCTCCAGATAGATGCGAGTGGTTTTTGCGGGAACCACTCAGTATTTTTTACAAAATACAAAATCAACGTAACTCCGAACATCCTAAACATTTTCAAAATTGTTTATTTTTACGCTATGATTAGAGTGTTATACCAACAGGAATTCTGTAATTATATTACAGAACATAGATATATATAATGTGGAGAAATATGAGAGTGTCTATGTCAGTTACATAGTGAAATATTATTAGCTCTTTGGAGGCTTCTCATTCTATGGTTAAGATGAGGGTTAGTCAACTTATTGCAATGGATTGTCTCAATAGAAGCAGTGACGAGTGGTCAGCTCTTATAGTCTAGGACCTGTATATGTGTTTGTATGCGATTCATTTAAGACATGCAATCTCAACTGTTTTAGGGTAAAATGACCATGACGCTCAACATGGCATATGTGCGAAAACCTGAATCCGGGGCGAAAGTCCTGAAAATGACCCCGCCCTGAAACGGCAGTGTCGAAATAGCTCTAACTTCTGAAAAGGAAAAGCTGTTTGGAAGGAAAGCTGTTTAAGATGTTTGGAAGGGTTGCTTCTAGGGGTGGTCAGTCGAAGGAAAAATTTGTCTAAGTATAATATTTTACCAGAAAATGACCATGCACCACCCCAGGTAAATTGCTAATGATGCACAAAATAACTAATATGCATGGCAGAAATTAAATTTTCTTATTTCCCAAAAAAATTATCATGGGATGAAAAACTATGCTTATAGTTCAATATAATTATTGTAGTTTTCATAAGGATTGCCTTTGTTGTTTTTTAATATAATATATTTTATTTCACTTACCCCCCCGAAAACACGATTTAAGCCATACTTCGCAGTCTTGTTCGCCCTCTATGACCAAGTCTCGCAAATTTCATCCAGTTGTTGTACTTTTACATAATGATAAATGGCTAAAGAAGGTTATCAACCAAGTTTCATGACGTTTTGAAACAGTGCAATGTGTTTTATGGTCGATATTGTGTCCTTCGATATTTCGTCAAATTGCCGCCATTTTAATGGTTCGACGCTTCTCTGCTCGATAAATGGCACTTCTTCATTTTCATATGTATTTACATTACAGTATCCAAGGGTATTTATTGTAGAATAGTCCGAATCGAAATATTGCAGTTGGAAGGAAGAACCCTCCCGTAAACCATTTAGGTTCAAAATAAAAAACATATCATTTGAAAGTCACGCGCAATCTTTGCGAAAACTTCTCGTGGACATATGACAGGGGTGAATATTTTCACGAAACGTTTGTTCGCCACCAAATACGGAAACATAACTAAATATATTGTATATATTGTATTTTTATGATTTATAATAAAAACAACAAATATTTGAGTACATACAAACTCATAAACGAGTCCCAGACTATTATTAATTATTTCACCGAATTATTAAAAATAAGCTCAGATAATTACATTTAGTATAATTACATAGGTGATTATTGAAAATTCTCCACGCTGATTGGTTGCCGTTAAAGTGATTATTACGCGATAATCACCTAAGCGATTTTCAAAATGGCGGACGAAGCCGTTTTGTTAATTAAATGACGAAGAAATGTGTATTTTTTAATTTTTTCTAAATATTCACGTAGGGCCTATGAAATTATACTAATTAACAATTATTCACCTCAGGTTCGTTGATTATCGTGAATAAAACCCTCGACTTCGTCGCGGTTTTTATTCACAGATAATCACCTCGCCTTCGGCGAATAATCGTTAATTATTCGCTGAAGGCGAGGTGATTATCGGGGATTCCCCAATAATCACCGATCCGAAAAATATGGGCGAATAATTGTTTGTCTTTTGTGACTGAATTATTTTAATTTTGCTAATTCCTTTTTTAGTAACGCACTTCCACAAAACGGATAGCCGCCATTTTGCAAATTTCGGTTTGTTATATTCACCTGTAGGTGAAATACGTACGCGAAATACAGCTTAATACGTTAAATTTGACCAATCAACTTGTAGGATTTGTGATATTCACTTCTGCAAAAATACTAATAACAGATATTGGATGAGGTTTTTGACACTTATATAGAGAACATAAAATTTCGGGATATCACAAAAACCGAATTCAATAATCGTCTATTATACATTGCATTTTCACTTTTTATTAACGTTTTCGACGAACAGTGATATATAAACAACGTTTGGTTCTCAAAAAAGACGAATAAAATGTTATAGATTTCTCATTTAACTATACTAAAGTTCTAATGAAAATATCAAAAAAGTCTTCTTTTTGCACAAAAAAAAACATTGAAACTAACACGCCATTCGTTCATGTTATTTTTTTGTTTTAATTCGTGTATCGAAACTTTGAATGCCAAGTGAGCATATATTTACACTATCTAAGACCTAATCAGGAAAGGTTGCGAAAAATGCAACACCATAGGTCCTCTGGTATAGGAATCGAATCTGCGCCCATGCGATTCCGGGGCAGTCCTCTAACCAACTGAGCTACAGAGGTCAGTTGTCAAAGCGCAACCGCATGTTCATGTATGTGCACTGTAGATTTTGTATAAAATCTATCGTAATGTATTAAATTGGTGTTCCTGACTTGCAAAATAGAGTTTGGAAGGATCAACTTCGAGTTATTTATTATTTCATTACTTACTTCTTTTTTACAAAATCAAACAGTTAATGCGACATGTCAAGCAAGAGACGATCCACACTACTCGACATTTGATGGAACACTTTATGACTTTATGGGAATATGTGAATATATTCTGGCTAAAGACAGTGTAAATAACACATTTGAAGTAAGACAATTGAATGAACCGTGTGGAAATGGAGAATTTTCATGCACAAAATCGCTAACAGTGATTTTCCCAAACGTAACTATCCAACTACTGCGGGGAAGTGTGGTGGTAAATGATTCGCAAATTGATTTGCCTGTATCTTATGGAGGTAAATTCTTTTCAACTTTCATACCTGATATGTGGTTTAATGCAGTTTGACGTTCCAGTCACACATTTTAAATTTAGTAGAATATATCTAGCCAGTTGAACGGCATATCCTTTCATTTGTGAGAGCTTTTATTATGAAAAGGAATTTAATTATATATAATGTGTGTTTGGAATGGTCCTGCCTTAAGTTGTCTCTCTTATTCATAATATTCTACATGGTAGGCCTACTTAATAAGAAAAAGATCCAAGAAATGAAATATATTTATATGTTCTGCTGTTGAATAGTTGGCGGTAATTTGGCATAGAATAATGTTGTGAAAATTTGAAAAATTAGAAAATTTGTTGTGTTTCTTGCTGAAAGTTAATCTTATCTCCATTGTGTTTTTCAAGGTGTCACTATTGACAATATTACGCGCTCTGGAGATCAAGTAACATTGGTTGAAAGTGTTTATGGTGTAAAAGTTGAATGGAATAATGTACATAATGTGAGAGTGACAGTGTATGGACGCTATGTAGACAAAACATCCGGTTTATGTGGCACATTTAATCGAAATCCTGAGGATGATTTCTTGACAGCAAATGGAGAAACTATAAACGATGCAGTAAACTTTGGAAATTCATGGAAAACTGATCCTGCCTGTGACAATGCAACATATGCACCACATCCATGTTGGACTAATCCTGGGAAGAACGCGACTGCTACAGCCAACTGTTCAGCTTTGTTAACGCCTCCATTCAATGTTTGTGCAAGCCATGTTGATCCAGTGTCAGAGGGTTATATTCAGAATTGTGAATATCAAGTATGTGGCTGCGGCGATGATCCTACAGTTTGTCTATGTGAAGCAATAGAGGCCTATGTCGCAGAGTGTTCTTCGTCTGGTGTGGACATTATCTGGTTGAGTGATGATCGATATCAACAATGCGGTATGTCACAACTTTATGCGTAACTTTATAAATTGAACTAAATGATTATAGCATATAAAACAATGATAAGATTCGTAGTTTGTATTGTTCGGAAGTAACAGTTACACCCTAATTAAAACCATCCACACACAGAAAAGAATCAACTAGACATGCATGTGTATAAAAAATTGCCCAGTTCGAAAATGTTCACTAAATTGCAAGTTCTGCAAAACATTTGAAAACTTCAATCTTGGCCAAAAGTTGGTAGAGCGACAAAACAAATTCGCAACTTTTAAATATACTTGCGTTTTAGAATCATTTTTCACCTCCCTCGCTCCCCCATTCAATGTTACTCTTCTACATTTCTAGTACACGTACAATTTTGTTGGACGGTCATAAATATACACTAAACGGCAACATTGAATTGGAGAAGGGGGGGGAGGGCGAAGGCCTTAAAAATGCATAAAACTTTATAGTCGTCCTACGGTTTATGGCCATGATTGTCGATGAATAAATGTTCACATCAACGACAATTAAAGATTAGTGCCAAACTGTAAAATCTGTTCCGTAAACTTACCACGAGGTGAAGAAATGTGAGCATCAGCTGTTTATATTTGGTGTTTTCAACGTATATGGAAGCCCTCTTTCCAATAATATTCGCTTATGGCACAAATACAATAGGTCAAATGCAATGATACGTTTCTTCTTAAATTTCGTCTCGGAAACTGTGTTGGAAATTTAGATGCTGACCCATTATATAAGAATACCGTTTTACATCGATGTATAAAACATTTTGATCGCATGTAAGGAATTATTTCTCAGCCCAGAGACATAGCCAAAAATTTAGCATTAACGTCCTTGTGAATTTATGGAGATATAGACCCAGAACTGAGGATTTAAAAGCGTTCTCTGTACCTTCTCAAAGTTGTAGACAAGATATGTTGCTTACGTCCAACACGCATAAGATTAAATAACTCAAAATGACTTGAACAAAACGGTTTCTTGTTAAAAGGAAGACTGGTTAATAGAATTTGGTACTTTTGAATCGCTTGTCGTCATAATCGGTAACCGCTTGTCGTCATGATCGTTCCGTGTCGTTAAACAATGAAAAAATTGTCTTGAAATTAGTGAAGATAAAATAGCAGTTTGTGCGAAAACTGCGGGTTTACGGAGCGAGAACTTTCAGATTTGAACTCAGCGTGTTCGAAAGTGTTAATTCCCGTAAAAATATTTCAGTTCCCGTAAAAATATTTCAGTAACAAAACAGGGGATATGAAAATCGTTTTCTAGCCTCTTTTCAAGGTTACAGCAAACTGCCTATATCAGTGGTTACCGCAAAAACCACCAGCACCTATCTGGAAACTCAAGCTTAAATCTATTGTCTAGAGTGATGCTGAGCATTGCTAATTTCTTAAGCATTATCACGGAATTCTCCTGTATATTTATAAAATTTGCAAGTCTTTGCACTGCTAGTGATGACATAAACCACAATTCCAAAAAATCCTTTCTGAATGAGAAAGAGAAATAATACATCTAGTACGTTTTCAAAAATAATATTTATATACCCTCATTTTCGCAGTGGTCACCAGTATATCCAACAGGGCATGAGATGATATTATTATTTGAACAAGTCCCACCATTGCAGCATGGAGCACTGGCACATGGAGAACCTAAATTAGAAAAGAATTAAAATTGTTAAAATTTATGTAAACTCACTGTAAAAACAGATTGGTTGAAATGACCAATTTAAATTTGTTGTCGCAGACGCATCTCTTTTGACCAACTTTATTTGGACAAAACGACCATAATAGGTGTTTTATGAACTATGAATGTTTGCACGACCTCCAAAAATTGGACTTTTCTCAGATAACAGAACTTCGGCTGATCGGCATGCAACTATCGAAATATACAAGCAAAACTTGTACGTTTCGAGCAAAGACAGTGAAAAATTTTGAAGAGCCTTGGCTCGAGAAGTGGAAGTTCTCCTGGTATTTTCCAGATAGTTTCATCCCAAGCAACCGAAATTTTGTTATTGTTAGCACTACTTAAACTAACACGTACCATAGCCGCCTTTCACGCATAATACATCGCACGCATGACTGATTTTATGCATGATTAATTTTTTACATACTCTCTACAAATTAAATTAAAAAATTATACAAGGTTTATAGGTCGTGCATTGGACCTAATATACGTACAATTGTCTAATATTTCGATAGTTTATAAAACACCTTCTATAAATATGAATGAATAAAGAAAATATTTAATGAGGAATGTCCGATTGAGCATAGCTGGTTGAAACGGAACCATGACTACAAACCAATACAAAATTACAACATATATCATAAATATTTACATAGCCTACAATTTAGATATTATGGTAAAGTCTAGTGAGCATAATTTGGAATATCATTTAAGGCATTTAGGAACTTCTTAAGATCTATCTTAAATTTTGAGAAACAATTTTCATTTGTAAAACTTGATGGTAGAAAATTCCATGTTTTTGCTCCGTTGTATCGAAAAGAGCTTTGATACGTTTTCGTTCTTGCTAATCGGAGTAAATCTTTTATTTCTAGTATTATAGGCATGGCTTTTATTTGCGAATATAAATTCATGCAATAAATACGCATGTGCCATTTAGGCACTTAAAAACTTGACGTAAACAAATTTGATAGGCCCTTCGGATTGCAAGGCTGGAGATATAGAAGTTAGGTTAATGTCGCACTGCCTGTTGGTACTCCCCTCAATGATACTGGCAGCCCAAATTTGAAGCTTGCCTAGGAATTCGCAAGCCTTTTTAAAAGTGGTTTTTGGAAACATGAATAATAATAATTTTAACAATTTTTTTTATTTCAATTTTTTAATGTTTTCAGAATAATTTTAGTGGTAAAGATAATAGCAGATCCCAAACTACCATGCTTGCATCAACAATCTTGGCCATAAACCGTAGGACGACTATAATTTTTTAAATGTTGCCGTTTAGTGTATATTTATGATCTGACCTACTGTACAACAAAACTGTACGTGTACTAGAAATGTAGGAGAGCAACATTGAATGGGGGGGGGGGGGTGCAAAATGATTTAATTAAAACGCAAGTATATTTAAAAGTTGCGGATTTGTTTTGCTGTTCTACCAACTTTTGGCCAAGATTGTAGTTTAAGGTTACTTAAGACTGATCTTGCCGTAAGTGTTCTGCCAGCAACCAATCGACAATACTCTTTTTAGCGTTGTCTTTGCCGTTACGTTGGCTTCCCGTTACTTTTGTTTTAATTACCTTGATAGCGTTAAAAGAGTTATTTTTCAGGCCAGCGACATAGCCAAAAGACTTCGCATTAATGTCCTTGTGATTTTATAGACATATCGCTAGAACTGAGTTATCTGTACCTTCTCAAAGTTGTAGACAAGACATGTTGTTTACGTCCAACACGCATACATAAGATAACATAACTCAAAATTGTTCGGGCAAAACGGTCTTCTGTTAAAAGGAAGACTGGTTAATAGAAATTGGTCCTTTTGAGTGGCGTAATCGTTTGTCGTCATGGATCCGTGTCGTTGAACAATGACAAAATTTGTGGTGAAATTAGTGAAGATAAAATTATAACAGTTGGGGAAAAAACTGCGGGTCGACGGAGGGGGGACTTTTCGGAGTTGGACTCGGCGTGTTCGAAAGTGCTATTTCCCGTAAAAATATTTCAGTTCCAAGACAGGTGAAATGAAAGTGAACGATATCGGGACGCAGCAAATGGCCTATGAGTATTTGTACAAAACAGAAAATCACCGTAACGCCGAACATCTTAAACATTTTCAAAATTGTGTATCTCTACTTTTCGATCTCTACGAGTGTTGTCAACACCAGGAATTCTGTAATTTAGCTTGGAAGGATCGACTTTAATCCATTTATTATTTCATTACTCATTTCTTTTTTACAAAATCAAACAGTTAAAGCGACATGTCAAGCAAGAGGTGATTCACACTACTCGACATTTGATGGAACAACTTATGAGTTTATGGGAAGATGTGAATATATTCTGGCTAAAGACAGTGTAAATAACACATTTGAAATAAGACAAGTAAACGAACCTTGTGGAAATGGAAACTTTTCCTGCACAAAATCACTGACAGTGATTTTTCCAAATGTAACTATTCAACTACTGCGGGGAAGTGTTGTGGTAAATGATTCGCAAATTGATTTGCCTGTATCTTGTGGATGTAAGTTCTTTTTACTTTCATACCGGATGTGTGGTTCAATGTTTAACGTTCCAGTTATATATATTTAAAATTTAGTAGAATATATTTGTCCAGTCCAATGGCATATCCTTTGATTTGTGAGAGCCTTTATTTCGAAAAAGAATTTAGTTTAATTAATGATAATGTGTGTTTGGAATGGTCCTCCCTTATTCACGACAGAATAATATCTTACGAAAGTTGTTTATCTTATTCGTAATATTACTATTATGATTTTTAATAAGCAAAAGATCCAAGAAATTAAATATATTCATATGTTCTGCTGTTGAATAGTTGGATAATTCGACATAGAATAATCAGTAGCGTAGCCAGCCCAACGATTTAGTCCCGCTAAGAAAATATGTTCATGATCATTTACTGTGAAAGTAAT